TTTGAGTTGGTGTCTCACTCTATCACCCAGGCTGGAGTGCTGTGGCCGCTCCCGCCACGGCAGCCTCAACCTGCTGGACTCCAGCGATCCTTTCACCTCAGCCTTCCAAGTAGCTGGAACTACAGGCATGAGCTACTACGCCTGGCTAATTTTTTGATTTATTGTAGAGATGAGGTCTCGCCAAGTTGCCCAGGCAGGTCTCTAACCCATGGGTTCAGGCAATTCACTCACCTCAGCCTCCCAAAGCGTGGGATTATAGGCTGAGCCACCGAGCCCAACCTGATTTTATCTTTAATGATTCATTTTCTGTTCAGGAGTCTGTTTTGGTAGTGTATTCTTTTTCATGCTTTTGTTCATATTGCCTTTCAAGTTTATAGGCATGAGAGATGCTTGTGGTGTTCTTGTATACGTAAAACCATGTGCTCTACCTTTGATTCTGTGATTTGCAGGTCATTTTGATTTAGCTGGTCATTTTGACTATGTTCTAACCATAGGCTATAAGTTTCCACATGAGACTATAAATTCTTTAAACATAGATCTCATTTAAAAGAAGAAAATAAAAGGGGTCCCAGTGATCATTTAAATTACTATGATACCATTTAAACATGTATATACATAAAATGAAGTATGAAATTCTTAAGCTTAGGCTCTTTTACAGCTATAAAACTAATATAAATTAAAAAGTTAAAGATAGACAAAACTTACACAGTTTTGAATTTGCAGCATTAAAGAGATCAATAATACAATTTTGCTGAAACTAAACGAGTGGTTTGGGATTTAAGAATGAAAAGATATTATCTGAGCTCCAAATCTTATTTTTGAATTTTGCTTTTGTATTTTGACTTAAGTAATTCTAATATAAAGAATCCCTGCATTAAATAAGTATCTAGTCAAATTACTATGGAATTATGAACAGAGAAATCTCTGAAATGAGCTTTCGAAAATCAGAAAAGTGTTGTCCAGCTGAACTGTGTTTTGTTGACATTGGTAAGACCACACTTCATTTGTTGTGCAGTTCCCAGCCACCTCTCAGAGCCTTTCACAAGACAGCCACATTTAAGACATGTTCCAAATTTTAAGCTCTGTTCACTTTGTGCAAGAAGTGTAGACACTTAATTCTCATGGTAGAAATGATCCAGAATATGCTCATGCTGGTTTTTAAAAATTATCATCAAAATGAAAATAAAGTTAAGAAATCCTGCTAGAGGGTTCCTGGTTACTCTAAGCATGTGTCAGCCCTGAGGGGCTCTGCCTTTAGAGGCCTAGTGCCAGCAGAGCTTCTCAGCCTCGACGCTGTTGTCATTTTAGCTGGATAGTTCCTAGCTGGGTTTGGGGTGAGATGGGAGGCTCCTGTGCGTTGTAGGGTGTTGAGCAGCTTCTCTGGCCTCTACCCAGCAGATGTTGGTAGTGCTTTCAGTTGGGATCACTAAAAATGTCTCCAGATGTTGCCACATGTCCCCTGAGGGACAGAATCACCCCACCCCAGCTGAGAACTACTGGTTCAGAGCCACTGCAGCTACATCTGTTAGTCCCTTTCTGAAAATCTGAAAGATCAATCTGTAAATCCCAGTTCACAGTGGGAAATGCAGAAATCTCTTAAATCTAAAAGATATTTTATAATTTTATAGCAAGCTCTCTAGGTAACAAAAACTTGACCTGAAATAACAAACGCTTTTTGAGCTCTTTATTGTCTCAGCTAGTGTCAGTGCCCATGTGTGTTGCTGCAGAAGCATTCACTTGTTGGATTACAGAATGCTTCCTCAGAACCCTCTGGGGGTGTTAATTCATGCATTTCCACAATCTGAATTCCAAGATACATCCCAAACAAGCATTTCCAGTAGGGGATTGTGACCCTGTATTTGAGAGGCAGGCTGACTTAGAGAGTGTGATACTGATTTAATGTTTCCTGATTTTGACCTTATGCTGTTTTTATTATCCTCATATCATATATCTACATATCTCTCTCTCTCTCTGTATATATATATATTTAGAAATCAGGATTTATTGAGAGGACAGGAAAGCTCTCACAGTGGGAGGGGACCCCAGGGGGCTGCCCATATTTTATATTTTTTACAATAAAATAGGAAACATGCTGGTAGATGTATTTTTTCCCAAAGCAAAATAATACACTTAATGCAGTACCTGTTAGTTTTTATTATGCGGTTGATAGCTTGTACTTTCTGTTAATATAAACATTTGGCATCAGTAGTAATTTTTCTTTTTGATATTGTTAACTTTAGCCACTGAAGACAGTCATCTTAAAAGCTTAAAGTATGTGGACTAGTTAATTTGTGACTCTCTGTTACTTATTAAACCTGTATCTTTTTTTTTTTTTTTTTGTATTAGGTTGGCATCACCCTCTTTACTGTGTCACATAGAAAATCTCTTTGGAAGCACCATGAGGTTTGTATTTCTTTCATGACAGTGAAAGTTTATTTAAAATATGAATTCAGATGTATATGGTTTTAGATTCTATGGTATGTATTCCCTTATAAATATATGCCTTAAGGAAAAAAAGGTGATTTTGTTTTGTCAAATAGAATTTTCCTAAATATTGTGGTTGTCAGTTTTGAAAGCCACAAGGACTATAAACAATCCCTAGTTTTGTATGAGAGCTATTAGAAAAGTTAGTGGTTCTCCAGTTTTATAAGGGATTATTGCATAATAATTGACTAAAACTTGCATAATCTTATCACAAATATGGCTAAGTAAACATTTTCTTATTTAGCATTGAAAGAGGAGAAAAAGTCTTAAGAATTAGATGGCAGGCCTGGTGCAGTAGCTCGCACCTGTAATTCTGGCACTTTGGGAGGCTGAAATGAGAGGCTCACTTGAGGCCAGGAGTTCGAGACTAGCCTGGACAACATAGTGAGACCTTGTTTTTAAAAAAAAAAAAAAAAAATTAGGAAATTACCTGGGCGTGGTAGTACATGCCTGTAGTCCCAGCTACTTGGGAAGCTGAGGTAGAAGGGTTGCCTGAACCCAGAATGTTGAGACTGCAGTGAGCCATGATTGTGCCACTGACCTCCAGCCTGGGTGATAGAGTGTGACTCTGACTCAAAAAAAAAAAAAAGATGGCAAAAATGTAGGGGCATTTTTAATAGAAGTCAGGACTGCAAGGGGAGATTGAGTAGTGTCAACTATGTTCATCATTGCCCTGTAATAAGTAGGATTCACTAGGTGCTTGCCTGATTTACAGAGTCCAGGTAGGCCTGCGCTGGGACAGGCACTCGCTTTAATTTACAGAGTCCAGCGAGGCCTGTGCTGGGACCGATGTGTTACTTGTACTGAGGTTCGGGCAAGGCTGGGAGGCTGTGGCAGTTCTTTTCAGCACTTGGTGTAAAATGTTCAGAACCTGAACGTAAACCCAGTTTAATTCCCTTTATTTTCTTTCCTTCATTCTTTCTTTCCCCTCTTCCCTCTTTACTTTCTTCTTCTCTATCCTCTTGCCTTTTTTGCCTTCCTAATGATACAGAAATTTTAGATAAAATAAAGCATTTGAGAGAAATTAGATCAATGGCAATGGCATCTTGTCCCACAAGACACCTGGCTAAGCACCTTTTCTGCCAGGTGCTGGCTGAGTGTCATGAGGGATGCAGGGATGGTCTCCACCCTCAGGAACCCCAGAGCTTAGGTAACAGTCTATAGGTAGTAACATGAAGAGTGCGGGTTGGAGTCAGAGGGCCAGGCTCAGGCTCCCCATTGGAGCTTCGGTAGCTTCCTTGGCACGTGTTGCCCTGCCTGCCAGATTATTGTGAGGACCAGAGAGGCAGCCTTGTGAAAGTACTCGTATGCGTAGTGAAATTCTGTATAGCTGGTGACTTTTAAAGATAGCTGTTACTACTTCATGGAGTATTGTAATTTGTCTGTTTTCCATGATTTGAACAGGAAATTGAATGACTAGAAATCAAAGCAGTTTAAACTGTACCCAAGCCTTTGTGTGTTCTTGGCGGGTCCAGAGCACTGGAGGCACAGGATGTTGAGAAAAGTTGAGTTTCACCTTGCTTGTAGGTATAGGCAGGTAGCAAAATAATCATTAGGCAGTTGACCACGTTAAGGAGTGGGACACAGAACTGGAATGTCAGGGGCCAGAATGGCCAAGAAATAGCAAGGCAATAAGCTGCTAAATCAAAGCAGAAGGTTTTGTAACTCTGTCCTCGGTGTCCTCAGGGGATAGGATGTGTGGGCACTTCACATTGCTTTTTCCTCAAGCCTTGAGTTGGAGATGCTGAACTGACCTGGGAAATTGGGCTAAAGGGAGCAGCAAGGACTGTCGTGCTGAACAGTCATGCATTTAGCAAGTTTAACCTCCAGCAGCTCAGACCTTCATTGTGGAGTTGGTAGTTACAGAAGCATCAATGTGTGGGATGCTTCTGTAACTACCAACTAGATCTGGTTCTCTTAAATAAGAAGGAAGTCTGCATGTCAGTTTTTATTAAGGAATGTACTGCATCCACTCTTAGTTACTGATTTTTTTTCCCCTTCTTTCTCAGTACTACCTGCATATGGATGGCCGAGGCAATTATGAATTCAAACAGATAACAGAAGATACAGTTGAGTTTGGCTCTTAGAGAACTCTGGAGAACTGTACCTGCTTCAATGAAATCATAACAGAGTACACTTAGAAATACAAAGTACATTGTCAAATAAAGTGGAGCTTGTTTTTTTAAAAACAAAGCAACAAATTAACTAGATTTAGAATAATCAAGAACAAGTTGTTAAAACATTTAATATTATATAGGATATTGCTAATTGTGTATATGTTGGTTTAATTATTAATATGTACTAAGAATGTCCTTATTCTTGTGGTTGAAAACCTGCCTAAATTAAATTGGGCTTAAATCAGTGTAACCTGATTCATCCTGGGATGTAAACCATTTGAAGTCAGCTAATTTGACTTTTATGGCTCTATCTTTTCCTTCAAGGAAGAACCCTCTTTAAAACTGGGGTCATCATTTGTCCTGTTCTAACAAGAGAGTCTTGAGTTTCATCTTCCTGTGCCACTTGGAGTGGGAAACAAGCCGTAATGTATTGTTAAAATGTGTAACATCACTGCATAATAGCATTTATTATGCAGGTTTCTTTAGCTGCCAGTTACACTCATTCCTTGTATATGTCTTGGAGTGCACTTGACTCCAGGAAAGCCATTTGGATTTTCTTTAGCTACATGATAAATGTGCCCCTCTCCATCTGCAGTATTGTGTTCAAGGGTTCTTTGTGATGGTGTAACAAAAGTATAAGTACAGTCTTTCTAACATCGGGGGGTAACTACATGTCACACCAAATCTTCCCAATGTTTGGGATATTAAAACACAAAGCCCTTACATGTCAGGCTTGAGGTCTTATGAGAGTTTTAGATTTTTTAAAGAATTGGGCAGATGTGTGCCTATTAGCAGTATAGTGGCGATTTGGTGTCAAACTCCAGGTGAGCCATAGGAATACACTACATGAAGTAGTACACGGAGCATGCAGTGCCATCACTGTCTCTGACAGTGATTTTATGTTTTAAAAAATAAGCTGTAAAATTATGTACAAGGATGAATTATGTTTCCCGGGCACTGGCTTATCTCTGAATATTGAATAACTTTCTAATATTTGGGTTAGAGAAAATGATTTCCGCTCACCAGACCACCTTTAATGACTAAATGTATTATTTGCACAGGGAGAACTGAAACTGAATATCATTGGTAAGCTAGATATGAATTCAGTTTTATCAAACTGGGCTTCAGAAAGGGCATTTTATATTCTTGTTTCTGCACAACTGGTTTTGTTTTTTTGCAGAATTAACTGTAACAATCACCGGCTATCGAAGTAAATTTGATCTACTGATTCCATAATACATAGCATTCAATTTTTACCACTTCTCTGTAGCAAACTTGTATACCTATTTTCTGTTCAGATTAAAAAAAAATCAGATATCCTATACAGTCTTTGCTTGTTCTTTTTTGTTCTGGAATTTAAATACTGAGTAGTTCAGTCTTGACCTGAAAACATACATAGTTTAGTCTTGAGTTGAAAAACACAAAAATAAATCCAGAAAACACTTTTAACATCCGGTGTCTCTTTTCAAAAATTTTTTATCAAATACGGTTTTTAATTGAATAAATTTCTCTTTTAGAAAAATTCAATAAAATTGTCAGTGTACCTGGCAAATACTACCAAATACCAAAGAGACCGTAAGATATTATTATCAGTCTTGTGAAAGATCATAAGGCATTCCAGGGAAAGTTTTACATTTTCATGTTTCTGGGTCACCCTAAACCAACTAATCGCAGTACTCTTCAAACTGCCACCTATTTGCCTCTGTATTGGGTTCTTGACATCAAAAAAGCCAAGTTGGACTTTTGAAGTTTTTTCCCCCTTTGTATTTAACAAATATTGAAGTGCCTCATCATTTGAGGCACAGAGGAAAATCCTCTGGCGAATCACAGTGGACATGAGCATAGCGATTGTTCTAAGAGGCCACAGTAAAGAAATCCAGTGTTTCCAAGATATGATTGACCTCACCACATCTTTTTCTGCGTAATTCCTATTAACACCTTATACAGACTACACTGGGAAATGGTACTCTAATCTAAAGAATAAACCAAAGGATAAGAATGTGCATCTGTGAGAACACACCACATTTATCAGTGTTCTCATAGCGATTTTCTACTTTGTGTTTGACGAGAAGATAGGCATGCAAGCAACCGTACCAGTTTATTATGTGATCATAGGATACACTGCCTCTACAGTGTAGCTCTACAATGTCTCTGTGGTGTGTCTCTGCAGTGTCCCTACAATGTACCCCTGCAGTGTCTTTATGGTGGTGTGTCTCTGCAATGTCCCCATGGTACGCCTCTACAGTTCCTATGGTGTGTCACTACAGTGTTCCCGGGGTGTCTTTACAGTGTCCCTAAGGTGAGTTACCTCAGCGTCCCCATGGTGTGCCTCTACCATGTCCCTACAATGTATGTCCCTACAGTGTGTTTCTTTATTTCCCCAGGGTGTCTCTACAGTGTCCCCATGGTATACCTCAACAATGTCCCTACGGTGTGTGTCTGCAGTGTCTCTGTCTCCATGGTGTGTCTCTATGTTGTCCCTACGGCGTGCCTCTGTAATGTCCCTGCAGTGTTTTCAGCATCCTTACGGCATGCCTTGCAGTGTCCCTACAGTATGCCTTTACACTGTTTTTATGGTATGCCTCCGCAGTGTCCCTATGGTGTGTCTCTATAATGTCCCTACATTGTGTCTCTACAGTGCCCCTACAGTGTGCCTCAACAGTGTCCTTATGTTGTGTCCCTACAGTGTCCCCATAGCGTGTCTCTCTCTGCAGGATACCTCTACAGTGTCCTTATGGTTGTACCTCTGTGATGTCCCTAAAATGTGATTCTACGGTGTCCCTACAGTGTGCTTCTGCAGTGTCCTTATGGAGTGTCTCTATAGTGTCCCTATGGCATGTCTCTAGTTTCCCTATGATGTGCCTCTGTAATGTCCCTATAGTGTCTCTAAAGTGTCTCTATGGTGAGTCTCTGCAGCGTCCCTATGGTGTGCCTCTGTAATGTCCCTACCATGTGTCCCTTTGGTGTGCCTCTACTTCTTTCCCCTCTCATGACTAACATGGCTTAACACTGGTGATAGTATAGCATCTATTGTTTCCTTATGTAGTTTTAACCTTTTAAACTTGGTGTTTATAACTATAGTTTTTGCCAAGAAGGAGAGTGAATTTTCTCTTTATCAGATGGACTTTTTGCCTTGTCAGAAGCTGTTTACTTTTTTAAAAATTATATTTGTAGTTTTCTGTTTGTGAAGAATTGAAATGTTCTGACCTTTTTTTTTTTTTTTTTTTGAGTTGGAGTCTCACTCTGTCGCCCAGACTGGAGTGCAGTGTCCGCTCCCGGCCACCGCAGCCTCAACTGCTGGGCTCCTGCGATCCTTCTGCCTCAGCTTTCCAAGTAGCCGGAATTACAGGCGCACGCTACCACGCCCGGCTGATTTTTTGATTTATTGTAGAGGTGTGGTCTCCCTGCCCAGGCGGGTCTCGAACCCACGGGCTCAGGCAATCCACTCACCTCAGCCTCCCAAAGGCGCAGGATTACAGGCTGAGCCACCAAGCCCAGCCTGACCTTTTCTGTAAATAAAAAAAAAATCTAGTACCAAAAAAAAAAAAAACCAGTCTCCTCCAAACCTCAGGGCAACCATTTAAAACTCTCTGGCTGGGTAATTGCATCTCATTTTTAGACAATATGCTTCCATAGCTAATTCTTGACATCAGTGCCAGACCTTTTCTACCTCCTGCATTTCTGCAGCATCCTCCCCATATAGTTAAATAATTTTTTAGAAATTTGTAAGCATGTTATTGCAGTACATATACAAAAAAGTCCGTAAGTGAAAAGCTCAATGAATTTTTTTTAAATCAATATTTTTTATTATATTGTGGGGTACAGTTAAGGGTTAGGTATACAAATATGCTTCATTCAGGCCCCCTTGTTGATAACAGGTATCTCCCCGTCCCCAGACAGATGTTTACTACCATTAGTCTCATCCCCCTTCCCCCGCCATAGTTTCCCACCACTGTCAGTCATTTTCTTATGGTAGTTCGTTGGATGATCAAGGTCCACTATATGAGTGAGAACATGTGATACTCAGATCTTTGTTTCTGTGAGAGGTCACTCAGTATTATAAACTAGATCCATCCAGGTTGCCGTGAAATTCATGATTTTGTTCTTTTTTAAGCTCAATGAATTTTCTTAAAAGTGTGCATACTTAACCCCCCCTCCCCCACTAAGTGAAGACATGGAACGTTGTCACACCTCCAAGCCTCCTTCATGTCTTTTTCCAGTTATTAGCTCCTGATTCCTATCACATGCAGTAGTTTTGCCCATTTTTGGACTTTATACGTGGTAGATACCCTTTGTATTTTGTCTGCTTTTCCTCACTGTTGTGAGGCTGATTGATTCACTGTGTGACAGTAGTCCCTTTACTGTTATTACTGCATGATATTGAATTACAGACTGTCCCTAACTAACAATGTTTGACTTGGGAGTTTTCAGCTTTATAATGGGTTTATTGGGTATTAAATGAATTTTCGACTTAAGTTTCAACTTACAATGGGTTTGTTGGGCACAGCTCTGTTGTAAGTCAAGGAGCACCCACATATGAATAGGCCATAACGTCCCTATGTACCCGTGGTGGACAATGGGCTCTTTCTGTTTGAAACTTTCATGAATAGCCTTAGACACATCCCTATGCATGTCTCCTGGGGCACGTGGGATACATATGTGTGCATTTCTGGAATGAAGCGTGCTCGGCATTGTTGTGTTATTGCACATTCCACCATGGGTGAATAAGAATTCCAGTTGTCCGTCCTTGCCAGTACTTGGTGTTGTCAATGTTTTCTTTTTAACTTAACCTTATTTGTACCTAATGTAAGTTGCGCCATCAACAGTAAATCGTGGTTTCATTTTGTTTTTCTCTGATGATTAATGGGGTTAAACTCATTTCGTGTTTGTTGCCTGTCTAGATGCTCTCTCTTTTGAAGTGCCCATTTAATTTTTGAGCCTCTTTTTAAAAATGTCTTATTGATAGTTCAGAGATTCTTTATATACTCTGGATATAAATCCTTTATTAGATAAATGTTCTTATATCAGACAAACTTTAAGACAATGAGCATTTCTAGAAATAAAGGTACACTTCATAATAATAAAAGGTCAAAATATATAACAATTCTTAATTTGTTTCTAATAACATAGGCTCAGACACATAAAAACATAGAAATAGGGAATAATCAGTAAACCCACAATTTTTTAGAGGGAGACTTTAACATACTTCATGGTAGCTGACAGAATACACCCCCCAAAAAAAACCCCACACATAAATATTTGAACACAACCAACTTGAATTGACACATATGCATCCAGCAAATACAGTATTTTTCCAATTCCTGAACATGATAAGCCCTTCCCTTTAAGACATATTTAATTTCTGTCAGTAATTTTGTCGTTTTCTGTATCGAGACCTTGTACATCTTTTCTTAGGCATGGGATGTTGCTGATTCTAGTAAAAATGGTATCTTTCTAACACTTAATTTTCTAATAGTTTCCATAGTAGGAAAATGCAGCTGATTTTTGTACATCAATATTGTGGCTGACTGTATTTTCCAAAGATGGTCCGGTCCCATGAATGTATCTTCCATCCCACCTGGATCCTCCATGGATTCCATTCCCTACCCCTTCAATCTGTGAAACTTTGTCATTTCTGTAGTGAGTTTAGGAGTTCGAGGTTGATCCAGGAAGTGATAAGACCAAAGCCATCACACAAAGCTTTATTTGGGTACTGCCTGGACAGGGTTGCAGGAGGGGGAGTACCAGGAAGAGACCATCTAGGGATGGTGGCATGGGACCACTTCCTGGGTGGGGGAGGCGGCTAGGGCAAGGGCACAAGGTGATGTCACTTGGCAGTTAGGTGTGGAGTCTCTGGGTCACAGGGCCCCAAGGGCAGCAGTATTTGAGAGCGCCAGGCTTTCTCATCTGGGTTAGCAGATGGTGAATGCAGTTGTGGGGTACATAAAGGAGGTAGGGTCTAACTGACTAAAAATGTGGTTTGGGGACCATGTTTAAATCAGTTGGCTGTGTGGGAATTTGAGCTTAGCAGCAGCATGCTTTGGATTGATGGCCCTTGCCTACTATGGAGAGGTGAGCACAGGGCCATTGTGGCTGGCACACAGGCCGTCTTAACTTGGTCATGGAATGCTTCTGCAGCCAGCAGACTGAGCAGAAGTTCCAGTGAAGCTATCGTCATTTAAGAGCCTGCTTATGTTTTAGTGACTGCGTTATGTTGTTTGCTGCAGAACCAGGTAGAGAACTGTGTTCCTGTCTGTCTTTTCCCTCTGGAGTCTGCCTTTTTTTAAACTTTGCCCTATCTGCCATAATTGTCATGATAGATAATATCCATAACTATGTCCAGTTGTGCCATCCTATCTGTGTCCTGTCACTTTCCGGAATCGCTCTTTCTGGGCCTCCCATCCCCCTCTGCCCTGGATGGTGGCTGTGCAGACTGGCTGAGCTGTCA